CCAACCCATTTACGTCCCCACTGCAGGGGCTCAGGCCTTCCTTATGGATGGTTAAGGAGGATGGGCCATGACCCTCCACGCTGGCCCAATGCGGATTGGAGGGTATTAACGACTGCAAATGCAGCCGGGACCAACGGCTTAACGTGCCTTCCGAAGCACGGAGTAGCTCGAGATAATAATTTTTGGTCACCCATCCCGTGACCGACCCTTGCGAAAGTTGCTTAACGATTACGATCGCGAGCCGCGGCGCTTATCCACTACGCCACCGAGCTACTCAGGCCTCCCTATCAATGGAACCGAATCAAAACAAATAAGAATGTGTCTATGAATGTTTATGTCTCTATGAGAAATATTTAGAAAAGTTTAAACTTGTGACAATTTTAATGGACGTTTATACAATTGAGTGTGTGAATCGTACGTTTGGTCATCGTCGTGGTACAGTAAACTGTAATACCATGCGCCGTATTTGCAACTTAGTGTACCTTATATTTAAATCAATAAATTAGAGCAGGAGTTTATTAATGAGTCCCCCAACGGGTTAGGACGGGAGATTGCACAATAGCGCATCTCATGGTAGTACTGTCTCAGAGTCGTACCCCAATCCGCAGCGGCACCTGCCTTTCAAAGGACAGGCCGAAACGTTGGCGAAGCGCGGGATAAGAGGCCTCGGCTATTATCGTGCATCGTCCTTCATAAATGTATATCGGTGGGTTTTAGTGGGTATGCTCCTGCATTTCGACTAGCCCCCTTCAGGGGGCGAAAATGAGAAAGCATTAAAGATCTAATAAATCTTACTAGATGATATTGTCAACTGCACATACAAAACATTTCCCCACTGCATTTTAAATCGTAATAATACATTCAGGGTAGATGTCAAAACCCATTGCAGAAAGAAGAATGGCGAAATCAGACCCCATAATTTACAAAACCGTACATGGATGGCAATATGACAAATAAATAATATATGATTAATAGATTTTTTTTCTACAAAATGATGAATTTTAATGTCGGGGAACCAAACTAAAATATTAAATGCTGCTAATAATTATCAAGATAACAAAACGTCTGATGATAGTGCAAAAACAAAACGCGAAAATCTTCTTAGGAACGTTCTGGTCTACGCAGAAGTACTTTAATAATAAAACTATATCTAATAATAAAAGGGTCATCTATTTTAATGGATATTATCATTTCCTGTACATTACAATTAATGCTTTTGCCTTTAAAGTACCATTAATACGCTTAATAATCGAATTTAAATTCAAAATAAGATTATATAGAATAGATTCCGTTCTCTTTAATTGAAAACAACCACACAATATGTCAAAGGGTTGTAGTTTGGATGGTTTTTGAAAAATCGATCACATGTATCAACGATGTCAGAAGCGATTCTCAATTAATCGCGAGTTTTTTAAACATGTTCTATAGAAAATTATCTGTCGTCATTAACTGCTAATAATAAGTGAGATATGTGATTTAATGATGCGTACCGACTGAGCTAATGAACGTCAAATATATAAGCTGCATGACAATCATGATTAATTTGTTAATTTGAGTTTAAAAAAAATGTGCTATTTAGAAAAATTGCAATATCGGAGGAGAAGCCTGGTGACTTGAAAACATCAAGCCTTATTTTAGGCTTAGTTTCTGGCACCAGTCTTCCACATGACTGTTTACTTTGGCACTTGTTGATGTAATTTTTAAGAACATTTGTGGAAGAAAATAAATAATAATTATTATTATATATTCAATATAAAATCTATATATAATATATTATATGAAATACGATCTTTGAATACTTTCATAAATATTTATTTTATTCGTTCAAATTACGAATTGAATACTTGAGAAATAAAAAACATGAAAGCTAAGATACCACAATCGATTTAAGAAGATTATTGCCAGTTCTGCAGTTGATTCCATGAAAGGTTAACGTATCGATTATTTTGTTCTAAATAATCGATTGGTTGATTTTATTTTGACATGCTTGTTTTCATCTATGAATGTTCTATGATGATGATGGTGGAATGATAGCGGATGATTAGTTTGGTTTGTTTGTTGTGTGTTCGTTCGTGGAGTTTGATATTTATGTTAAATTCAACTTGACAATTAAGCATGTTTCTTTGACTAACGTTGATATTTGCATTACTTTTGGATTCCGAATATCAATCGATTCGGTATATCAATGACAGTTCAATGTGTAGATTGCCCTTATTTGTCACTCTCAGTTGTAATGATTTATTTAAAGGCAAAGGGATCTACCCCACACAGTCTAGTCATATGTTATAAATGTTTCTTCTATTATAAGTGTCAGGATCTTGTTAGATATGTAACTATCTTAATCTAGTTTATTAAACGGAGTAATCTGGTTACCATTTATATTTATTTTAACGGCCATTCAATGAAAAAGCAAAGATGCAATATATAACCCCACAAAGTATTTTATACTATATCTTTTTAACCCCAACTTTTAAAAGAAAAAGACGATTAGGATTTTGTTACTTTAGTTTATACCTTCAAGTACACGTTTATTTCATTGATGAACGGGACTTTAAAAATTCAGGTCCAAAGCTATATGGGAGTTCGCCATTGTTCTTTGACATGTCGTAGTAGCTTGACGTCAGTGGCGTTACTACAGGGTGGTAAGTAGGCAAAATGTCACGGGCCCCCAGCTGGAAGGGGCCCTTGCTCAGAGGAGAATACTTACTCCTGACATTTATTATTAAGCAATTAGTAAAAAAATTGAATATCCGATGAATTTGCCACGGGCCTCAAACGGTATAGTTACGCCACTGCCTGACATGCATATGATGCATAAAATTGAAACGCACATTTATACATCATATAGAGGAAATATTTGACTGTTTGTAGGTTTGTTTGTTTGCATTAAATTAATAATATAATAATAAAAGTTAAAAATGTATGCGCTGGGGGATAGGGGTGTAGACGTATTATCAAGTTTCTGCCCTGGTTGGAAAGTTTTCGACCCGGGCTTATTGCCGCTCCGAGCCTCCGATGAGGTTACTCCGCCATTGCTCCAAAATTCTGGACCTATATTTAAACATCCTTTTACCTACAGGGAACCAGACCAAGTTTTAATTACTTAGCAACGGTAAATCGATTTCAAGAACTAACTTACTACCATCACAGACCCAGGCCCGGATCTAGAGGGGGCATGGAGGGCACTTTTCCCGGACGCCAGTGTATGGGGGGCATCCAAAATCATCATTATTTATTACCTTTTTACCCAACTGCGCGACGCAAAGGAAGGTAATGTGTTTATCAGTCTATGTATGTATGTATGTATGTATGTTTCTATGTGGCGTTCTAGAGACCAAATGCGTAGGCAGATTTTGATGATTCTTACGTCAATCGATTCGTCTTAACCTTGCGAGTGTCACTAAAGACATGACAGTAATCAATATTCACCACAGCGACAACCAGACGCCATATTGTCTAAATGAAAAAAATAAAAATCGATGAACTATGTCAAGTGAATGGGTATCTTAAAATCATCTTTTTAGGTTCCTTTTATCATTTTAAATAATAGTTTAGGATATACAACGATTTCAAGATGTTTAACAAAACATCTCGCTAATTTTCTTACTTCTTGATTAAAGTTTTTATTTAAAGAATAAACGATATACAAACAAAAAAAAACAGTGAAAAAGCATGAAAAACAAAAAAAAACAGTGAAAGCATATTTTTGGTAAAAAAATAAAACATTTGTAGCTTTGAGCCGAGTTAGGTCTCTAGAGAGACTAATCATCAGTAGTTTAGACCACCGTCAGTTACTTAATAATCCCCACGACATTAACTCCCTCAATGAAATAACTTAATTGCAAAATTTACCATCTTTTAACGAAGTCAACGAATCGTAACTAAGAAGTATAAAATAAAAATAAATAATTTAAAGCAAAACAAAAATCCCGACTGCGTAAAAACGAATTTAAAAAAATACATGAAAGAATTAAATGAAAACTAAAAAGAAAGAAACAAGCCCAGTAGTTTAGAATTCTGTTAAGTAATACAGAACAGAACGACTCATAGTCGGGGCCTCTTGGTAAGATTTGATTGGTAAAATTTGAATGGGCCCCGTAAAATTTTATGCAGTCGGGATTTTTGTTTTTACATTTTAAAAAGAACCCAGCTTTAGATATCTCTTCATACACATGAAACGGACATACTTCAAAATCCCTAAATAAAATAAAAGAACAATATCATAATATAAAATCCGGCTTCCGAATCGTAGTAGAGGGTCCTTTTTACCAGTGGAAAGGGGCCATAAGAAGTTTCTGCTCCGGTTAACTAAATCGTCCCAACCTTAAATATATCTCTCAAGGCTCGGTTCCTCCCATCGAAGCATAAAAGTGAAGCTACGGCACGATATATTTAAAACTTGAAGTCTTATTATAAAATAAGGACTGACTTGTTATATAAAGTTAGTACCTAGTGCATCTGATGAATGTTTCATGGAGCATATGAACATAATACGTTATAACAGACGGACTGATCGGCAGTGGATTATGTAAGGTTGAATGTCATAATAATCAGTCAGTACATTTGAACCGATCATCGTCAGATTTGAACTGACCGCATAAACTTGAGTCAGTCGGTAATTAAATATGGACTAATTAATTACTCAAAGTTAATATATCCTACTATAAATATATAAATAGCTCCTACTAGCTTAGAGCTCCGGAAGCGTTTATACGCTATATTTATACGATATATTAGCAAAAATACACCTTTAACCTAAAAAAATCATCGAGTTCTATTCAAATTAGTTCCTTTTACGAAGATAATGATGCGTATAAATATAAATTTCGATATATTTCAATTTGTATCTGGAAAGTTTTCGTGGTAATGGTACTGAGGCCCAGTTTTATAGCTCTAGTTTCAGTAAGTAAATAACCCCAATTAAGAACCCACCACAGTATAAAACAAAATGGCGTTTCCCATTTCATTTTTGATGATCATTTTATCAACAATTAATGTCTATTATAAATTCAATTCAAAATCTTAACGGTCAATTCGATTCCAAAGGGAGTCCTTCGCACAAAACAAACCAAATTAAACAAATATAGGATTATATTCATTGAAACATTCAAATCCAACATAACAGATATTGGAGCACATTCCGAGTTTGCACATGCCGTGTGTACATACTCGGTCACACGGAAATCGCGTCCCCGTGAGGTCTTCCATTGTACACTACATTATAATCCCATTTGCCATAATTATTCGGGCATTTATTCTAAGCCACTATGTTTCTATTTTCGTCTCAAATACCTCAAACCATGTTAATGAAAATATCGCAACCAACACACATTGTTAAATAGCTCCGCGCCGAGTCAGTTATATCGATATAAAAGCCACACGTGAGAATATATTAAAAACGACTCTCAATTAAAATACAATGTGAATGAGTTACCATTTTATATGAACGAAATGAAAACCAAAAGGGTATAAATTAAATTAAGTATTATCAATTCAGATTACTAGTGTCTTAAAACATCTAAGGCATCTTTACGAAAACTTATTGTATTTTTTTTCTTAATTTATTACATCATATATATACATAATTTCGACATAATCATTTATTTAATAACGTAACATTTCTCTGGCAGGTCAAGTTAAAAAAAAATTAAATATAGTAACATTATGTATGTTCGGGTGTTATTGGGCTTTCAGCCAGAATTAACAGTAGAGTGCTAGTGTTATATACTATTACGTGCATTAAAACACTGTACATTCGAGGCGCTCGTTTACGTTTACGATAATAATTCATAATCGTAAAAACAAAATTACATATTCCGCTTTTATAAAAACTATTTTCGCTCGCCTCAAATATACACACTCATTTTGGTAATTCGACAATAATTAAAACACTAAGCTTCATTAATTACACTTCGTTAATCTATAAAACTGAAAACACGCAAGTAATTTGTATTTAAAATAGTTTTACACCACAAAGATCGCTTTAGATATTTATAAACAAACATTTGGGTGTTCAAGTGAATTGAAACGTTATTACCGTGTATTATTGCACGTATTTATTGTTAATAACTTGCAAAGCATTATCAAGATATTTAGATCGACTGTATACTTGAATTTTATCTGAAGAGTGAGAACGAACATGATTTGTAAACACCTAACAGTACATATGTATGTGCAGTAGCTATATACAAGCAATCACTAATATTTACTATCACAATTACAATCATTGACAATGTTAAAACAAAAAAACTTGATGTATTCAAAATATAGGTTCGTTAGTCATCGGCGGGGACGAAGCTTCTATCATTGATTCGACATATACAACCCCACCAAATTATTTTATGATCATTTATAAATTTATAAGTACTTTAATGTTTCATCCATCTATAAAAATAAAATTTTTTATACAAAACTACAAGAGGATAGTAAAAAGTTCATATTCTCTTTACAGATCTAGTAATAGACACAGAAAAGATACCGACAGTAGGGTCACACTAATAAATGATGAAATAAGATTAGAAATAACATAACATTAAAATAGTAAGTTTGAAACATTAATGAACATTTGTTTGCGAATATTATAAAACTGGCAAAATACTTCAAGAATAGCTTTGATAATTTAACTATAGTATGGCTGAACATTATCTAATTGCACTGATTCAATCTTAATTTATAAAAAAAAATCTACCAAAATTGTAAAAAATAAAAAGGAGTTATCTTTATAATATTTTAGAGGCAATTAGTCACATAAACTATCTGAAAACAATAATAGATTTATATCTCTTACTCTTTTACAAATAATACATAATTATTCATCTCGAGCGCGACTAAATCTTATTTTAAAATTCATTGAGATATCGATTATAACTATCATCTTTCTTACTGGTTGTATTGCGGACAACATATCGCATAAGCCACGCATACCAGCAAGCTATAAACACAGGCACATTTTTTTCTATATATTTATATACTATTATTACACAGTCATCACTATATATTTTATTCCTTCGTATCTAAATAACGATGTATACTCTATCAATGTTTAATTTTGCCGAATCACCAAAAAGTTTTCGATAGAAACAAGGCTCGTTGACAATAAGGTCGAAATTGACTATTCCCATAAACTTCAAATCAGCAATAGTGTATTTCTTCAGCGTATATAAATAAATAAGATAAAATTTACATTGTTTTGGTAATCTACAAACCGGGAGGATACGATACAATCTCAACACTGAAATGACGCTAGAAATATTTTATTACATGAACGATAAATTGACGTAGTTTAAACACAATAGAACATCACAACTTTCTAGCTTTACAAACGATATACATGATGATCACGGCTTAATACTCTAATATAGTTGGATTGTTAACATCAATTTTCAAGATAATAAGTTAGAGTTGTTAGAGCTCGCCGAATGACTGTTTAACCGAATACGAGCTAAAATTATAAATAAAAACGTAAAGTATCACCGCACCACTATTATAAGTTGCTACAAGAAATTTTAAATAGGCAAACGTGGAAATTAGTACAGACAACAGCAAAATTAGTAAATCGATGCATTTCATATCGAACCTCTAAAATGTTAAGTTCAAAATTAACTGCAGATATTAGACATTTTAATATTTGTAATCTAACATGCTGCTGTGTGTACAAACGTAAGTGTTTTGTATTTATTTTTTATTGCCTAAAATATAAAGAAACGGCGGACTTAATGCCATATAGGCGTTCTCTACCGGTCAAACAGTATGAATACACGGAACACTTAAAAGTTACGTATACTAATTTTAGTTTCTTCTATCGAGAACTAATAATAGTGGTACACAATCGTCTTAATCACAAATTGGCATACGATTCAGACTGTATATCTTTGTCTATCTTCAAACGAATGACGGCGACATAGCATAGGGATCGACTCCGAAATAACTTCAATTCGTCTACGATTAAAGCAGGACTACATGTAAAAAATAACATAACCATATAATTTGAGAACAAAGTTTTGAAAAACGAGAGGGAAATATAACTTTGCAAATTAACGATTACTACATAGTTTGTTCCCTAGTCAAAGTATGACGTAGATATGTTACGTGATCTACTGCACAGGTTGACGCACGTTAAAAGGAGTCAATAGATATTTTCAATATAGTGGGGTTTTCTCTGTTCAAAACAAATGTGTAAATAAGGCAATTTTACGAAACAATGTGATAATAACATTACATTAGCGGCAAACATTATAAGTTTGTATGTAACGGTCCAGCATATATAAATTAAGTTTCTATATAAACACCATGAATTACACACTTCTATTTCTATATCATATAATTAACAACTCTATGAAGTGCAAATAATTTATATGAAAAAACATTAGAATAGTTGTCCATTTTATCTAATCTAACCTTAACTTAGAATGAAAGGGTAATAACTATAGTTCCTGCACTGCTCATAACATTTTCTTTTACAAAATAACAGTATTTTCATTCACAATCATTTCCAGGGCTCAAATTGGATTAAATTTATATTATATCCAGATTTATAACAAATTTAAAAAAAAAATATTATGTTCAACAAAACACAAATCCGTAACTCCAACAAATAAAAAGTGTAGCAGAAAACTTATCATAACCGAATCGAATCGTTTATTTACACAATTTATTTACACAATAACTTCTTCATTACTAATTGAATCACTCAAATATACAACTTGAGCCCCGGGTTGTTACAAAAAATCTATAATATAACTGTGGTTCTAAAACGACTTTTAAGCATCGAAGTATGTAATACATCGTGTTGGCATACAAGATGAAAAGCCTATCGGCCAGTGTGTGTGTGTATGAACATGCTCAATTGTATATCTTGATTGCCTTCTCGAGGTAGTTGACACGTGAACGCTTTGGCGTCTTGTTGATATGCTCGAGCCCCAACCACGGTCGGACGCCCGTCGAGTCTGGGAGGGACATGTCTTTATTACAGTCAAGCGCGTATTCTTTGTACAATTAATTACGGTATAATCCCCGCAAATTGCTAACGCGCCTGCCCGCCATATTGGGGACGTTCACTAATAATAAATATATCTAATGTCTCTCATTTTATTATTAGTTTTGGTATCCTTTAAAAAATATCTTTTCCGTTTGTTATCGCGTTATTACAAAGTAAATGTTAATTTCTCATATTATTTTTCAAAAATTTATACAAAAAATTAAGAAACTAAAATTTATTAAATTATTATTATTACAACATTTTGGGGATTATTCATAAATATTTCAATAATGAATAAATCATTTATCTCTTGCATTTCGTGCAGTATACAATTTTTTAGGTTTTTGACAAGGTTCCAGCGCATTAGCAATTTGCAGGACTTAATAATGAAGTTATATTATACCAATACAGTGCTATTAATAATCAAGGTATAGCGTCAAGAGTAAATTTACGCTAAAATTTCAATTTTATTATTAGTCCAAATTCATATTATTCAGAGAATAAGCAAACTTACTACCTTCTAGGAGTAAATATTATACCCATAGAATCTCGTACTAGGTTAACCTTTGCTAATTCTCTGTTTAATAATATGAATTTCGACTAATACTAAGTGCAGTCTCAGCGTCAATATTACTCCAACGCTAAACCTTGTTTATTAATAACACTGTTAAAGAATATATCAAAATCTATACTAATATTATAAAGCTGAAGAGTTTGTTTGTTTAGAGAACTACTGGTTCGAATTAATATTTTTTTTTTTTTGTGTTGCGTAGACCATTTATCGAGGAAGGCTTTAGGTTATATAACATCACGCTGCAACTATTAGGAGCGAAGAAATAATGCAAAACGCGGACGATGTCGCTGGCCATTAGTTACTAATATTCAATGTATGAACCCTCGAACTAAGTTTTAGTTATATATTCACTGCTATAATAAGAAATTGCCTAAAAACAATACTCGCTCACAGTAAGATTCGGTTTTAATTGTTAATAGGAAATCATATTTATGTAGAATATTCATAATAATTTAATATCTTTTTACTAAATAATAATAGAAAATTAAAATTTTAGATAAATAGTTCTTCCCACAATGCAACTATGTTTCACAATGCTGACAGACAACTTTTTAATACTTACTTGCATTACTAGTTGGCCTGAAGTCGTAAATATTTATTACTGCTCCTTCACTTATGTAATTAGGTCTGCCATTTGTCACTACAGCGAAATTGTACTGGAACAATAAAAAAAATATGCTTAATCGTGAGAGTTTCGAAATATTTAGAAGTCTAAACCGCGCGCAAAGCACAACCAAGAAGCACTAATCTTTGGAATCAGTGGAATTTTTTGAAAATTCTTTTCGCATATAACATTTAATTTTTTGAAGATTTATAGTCATTATATTTTTCATTCACAATGCCATACTGAAAATTATTCTTAATACAAAATGCTTAAAAATCCACTTGGTCTTGATGCCTGAACATTGATGAGAATACGCCGTGTAGTAGCGAAAAGTAACAAGTGCTTGAAAGATTCGTCAGCCCTGTTAGGTCCTGGGTAGCTCAGTGTTTAGAGCAGTCGCCCGGATTGCGAAAGGTCGTGGGTTCGAATCCTATCTCAGGGCGCCAGGGACCAAGTGGATTTTTTAAGCATTTTGTATTATAAATGATTTATAGTCAGTTCACTAGTCATAGACTATGATTAAACATAATTGCAACCAAAGAACACATATCTTATCCAATCTAATCGATGTCTTAGATCAACCATAAATTAATTGGTGTAGGAGAAATTGTCAATAGAACTCAACAAATCCATTCGATCAATCGATTCGATATACCGTCGATCAATGATATATCAATTGTAGTAAACATTATTAATAGCCAGCTACTAATCCATTCATTCCACCATAGATCGCTGCCCTCAATTGACAATAGACGGTTAGGTGAAGTAGAAACAGTTGATAGACATCTACTTATGCCACGACATATCGATCAGGGTAGTGGGTCATGGCCCATTCTCCCTGTTCGATTCGATTCCATCTATAGGAAAGGCCCCAGCAGTAGAGACAATAATGTGATGATGAAGTTCCATTTACCTTTTCCCATTCCTTATCTGGTATATCGAGTTTCTTCTGCAGGCGATCCTTGACCGCCTGGAAGGGCTCGTTGTGTTTGACGCGAGTGTAGAACGGTATCCCGAACGTCGCGTACACCTGCTTGTGGAAGTGAGCGCACGGCACCAATACCTCATCCTCCTTCATAACATAACAAATACACACAATTTAAAAGGTTGTCAAAGTCAAAACTTAAAAATTATATTTATTAAAATTGGCTACTTGACAGATATAACAATAAATTATAATAATAATCGGTGGATAACCAGAACCTTTCGGTGCGGCCATGGCGGAGCATGGTGTGACGTCAAATTTCAATAAACTACAAAGTCTTCGTTGCGAGTGCAACCAGTACTCGTGTTTATTGAAATGTGACGTCACGGCTTGAAATATCATATGACTGGTTTTTTATAGCTGAACAATTCATTAATGATTAAAAATGTGTTTTTTCTTTATTCATTTTGGGAGAAAATAAGCTTGATAGCGGTTTAATATGATTATACTAAGCTTAAAATATTTTTCATAAAACAGTCAAGTAGCCAATAAGGTAGTTTGGGTAGTAAAAAATATGTCACGAAATTTACAAAAAAAAAAAATTACATTGTAATTTACATAGAGATTCAGATTTCGAATCTTAAAATCGCACGATTATCTTATAGCTTAAAATTAAAAGTCGAGATTATCTGTAACTTGAAACACGACCCGCCACTGTGGCAACAGATGTCAAATTAGTCCTAAAGGTAAGCCTATTAATTATTAAATTAATTAAATTTATAATTTTGTTATATTTTGAAATCAGACAGAGCAAATAGAATGTCAATTTCAATGCAAATAAATTTCATTCAAAACAAATGGTTTTTAAATCTTATAACACACATTTTATTAAATACTCTGAGAATAGTCAAATTCATTTAAGACAAGTTTTATGGAAAAAGTCAGCCACTGAATAACATAAATCAGATAGTTCAATCCAATTCATAATAATATGTCCCATCACTAAAACTGTCATGTCGCCATATTTGTTTACATCTTGTGCCTAAAGAGGAATGGGGTATAAGTGATAATGATAATTTCTTTATTTCCTTTGTCCAAGTCTCAACTGCGTTCGCTAATAATGTTTTTTTTTTTTTTGTAAATCAAGTCTTATCCTTTACTGAGGAACATATGAGCAACTTAAACTTGTGTTTTTTAGTGGCTAAATCATATATGACGATAAGAACTTACCTGCAACTGAAGCTCGTCTTTTGGTATTTCTTCTATTCTATACAATCTGGGAGGCGATATGGCGACTTGATCCAGCGTGATCTCGGGATCAGGGCCAGGTAACACTTTGTGACAAGACACTTCCACGATCCTTAATCTGAAATATCATCGATACAAATGTTGCTATAATCACCAGACTGTAACGTGACATCAGATTATACAATATTAATTACAAGATGATAGTAATAATATCAGCACCCGAAACGAAAGTAAATTTTGCATAAAAAATCCAAAAAGGTATCGAAACAGATGCAATATGCGGAGAAAGAAGTATAAGCCTTTCCACTTTACGCTAACAAAACTTTTTATCGAACCCTCAACCCAAAATGAGGGGTGTCATAAGTTATAACCAGAGGTCGGAATTAGGTAGAGTAATTTATGTACTTGCATCGAAATGTTGATATTAATGTGGACCTTCCCGGGATTTCTTTATTTCTTCTTTCTTTCTTTCTTTCATTGATGTAAGTTTGGAAACGTCGTGCGTGCAGTAGTTTAAATTGAGTAAAAGTAAATAACTTTTTATTTAAAAAAATCACGGGATTTTTTCTGCTCTTTAAAATTAATCTCGGAATTTGAGGCATATCTACTTTATTCTTTCGCTGTATGAAATCAGTGTAAGTACATGAATAACTCTACCTAATTCCGACCACTGGTTATAAATTAAAAAAAAGAGGTGTTATAAGTTGAAAACTTAACAATTTAATACCTACCCCATTAAATTAATTAATTATCTACATATATTTAATTACTTTGACTTTAGTACGCTTTAATTGTGCAATAAAGTACACATATATTTATAATATATTGCCCAATAAAGTGTATAATATAATTATATTAACCATCGAAAACGGGGCCTAGTGTCATCCAACGTTTGAGGATTCCCTAACAATTCTCTTCCTGCTATTTATAAATGCACTTCTTTTATTGCTTAGTACACTCGAGAAGTAACGTGAATAGTTATCATTCTGATTTTTATTGATTTTATTTTTATTTTATATTTTGGTATTTTATATTTTTATACCTATTGTAATAAACCACATTAATAATTACATAATACATTTTATATTTTCCAAAGTTTAGTATAATATGTAATGTAACATTCAACATGAGTTCTATGTACCTTATTTATGTACTAAGTGGTTCCAGTACAGAGTTAACTATTAACATACTCACAAGTCGACTTACACTCACCTCTTTGAACCCTCTGGGGACATTTCAACTACTTTAGCTGCCTCCGCTAATATATCTGCAACTTTACCACCTTTGTTTGGATATAAAATTAATTCTTTATCTTCTTTATAATTTGGACCAACCTAAAAAAATAATAAAAGTATTTCATCCATTTTCTGGTTTCAAAATAAAGATAATATTATAGCCATGTCCCTATACATACACTACTATAAAAGATATATATATTTCAGTATTTATGGTGTTAATATATTTTTATTTAGGAGGTTCATCCATATCTATAAACTTACCCATAAACATTTGAACTGTTTCTTGTTATCCAATTCGTTAACTTTAATTGATAATATCTGGTAGAATAACTTCTTAGGGCACTTTGGTTTACAGTATACTAATAAGTCCTTAAGTATACCATCGTAAGAGTATTTTAGTGGCACTCCAGGAATATCCTTGTAGCTACAACAATAGAAACAGCAATTCATATTCTACATCATACAGTCTAGTTTATAATTATGAGATGGAAAATATATTTTTAATTTTATAATTATTATGAGGATCTTATTAGCTTTAATTATATTAAAAAATAAATAAAAGATAATTATAATTAAAGATATAATAGGTAAAAAAAATCTATTTAGTAGAAAAATATTAGATACATGTTTATTTTTTCCGTTTAACAAGAAATCAATTAATCTTAACTCAATGTAATTTAATGATTACGCAAATAAATTGAATATGCGTATTTAAAATTTTTCAGTAATTTTTCTTCTTCGAATCAATACCGGATGTCGCTTCTTATTTAGAGCATTCAAGCTTCACTTTAGATGATGATGCATCTATAATGGTCTCATAAATAGTTTCATTTTACTTACTTCTGACACTTGAAGAACTGTATTAAGTAAGGGTCCACATTAAGGTGCTGACCGACCGCTCGCGCCATCTGGTCGTAACGCATTTGCATTGAGAGCTCCATTGTGAAACTGCAATAAGATCAACATTTTTGAATTATTTACGTAGGAAATCTACTGTATTCTAATATGCTATTCTTTTTTTGGCGAAGAAATTCCTAGTCCAGCTTTATCAAATTCAAAACAAACATTATTTGGAATTTTAAATATTATGCATTAAAGTCATAATTAAATTAAATTCACATCTCCACAAGAAAGGCTTATGACAATAGCCTTAAGTGTGACACATCCTAAACCTAAACCTAAATGTAAGCCTATATTCCAAGGTATCGGTAATGTTGCTCAATCGGATATAGCTTGCTCTTTTTTGAGCAGAAAAATTTTGCAGAAGCTACTTGTTGAGTACTGGCAGCTGGATCTTATCGGATACAGGAACGAGAGCACTAAGGGATATTAGCATCCCTTCCCTCTAAACTACTTGTTCTGAGCTTACACTCCAGACATTACCGCGTGGTGGACGGTTCACTTTCTGAGGATGGCTGTTAGATATCAAAGTCTTTTCCTTCTCGCAGATGGCGACCAAGAGGGAGCCCAGGGAAGACCCAAACCTGGATTGGGTCTGAGCCCTCTTATCTGCGTGAGCCTACACTACACCGGAGCAGGTTTTATTATATTTATAGAGTAGCTTGGTGGCGTACTGGATAAGCGCCCCGGCCCCTGGTCATTGTTGTTAAACGTGTCGGTCACGGGATGGGCAACCAAAAAATTATTATCTCGAGCTGCTTCATGCTTCGGAAAACACGTTAAGCCTCTGATTCTGGCTGCATCTGCAGTCGTTAATACCATTCAATCCGCATTGGGCCAGCGTGGAGGCCCATCCTCCTAAACCATCCATAAAAAAGGCCTGAACCCCTGCAGTGGGGACGTAAAAGGGCTAATGATGGTGATGAGTAAGTCGTATTTCCTTTGCGTTAACAACAAAAAACTTACGATCTAAATACACATTAACACTATCCTATCAAACACACTTTGTCAATAAATAAATAAGTAAACGTAAAGCTGTCTGGGATCTTGGTCTATAGTACTGTATTGTGACTTACCCAGGGTCATTCGGCAGAGTCTTGTCGACGAATTGCACTTCCACCTTATAGAAAATGTACTTGAAGTAGTCCTGGCAGGTGGGCAGCTCGAGGTCCTCGTGCCGGTGGTCGGCGCGCTCGAACACGATAATGTCGCCGTCCATCAGTTCGTCCAATACCTGGCCGCGTGCACACGACTCAATTCAAGGGGATACGGTAAAAACCCGTCGAGGTTAAGCTTTCAACGGATTATTTACCGTGCAGTCAGATAAATCGTTATACTTTTTAATGAAAAATGCTTAAAGATCCACTTTGTCCCTGGTACTCTGAGATAGGACTCGAACCCATGACCTTTCGCAATCTAGGCGACTGTTCTACTGAGCTATCCAGAAACTGACTAATTTTTCAAGCAGTTGTTACTTTTTCGCTGTATTTTTCAGGTGGTGTATTTTTCAGGCGCAATCAATCCAGGGTGGTGGATCAACAGCCGAAAGAAATATTTAAACGTTGCAATTTTGCATTTACAATACTATTCCAGAAAATACTCTTAATATTAGAGACCCATCTCACGAGTAGCAAGGAAAAAGTGAATTTTTTAAACATTTTTTTATTAAGAAATTTTCCAGTATAACAGTGTGAATGCAAAATTTATCAAATATGTTCATTATATTTTCTTAACATAACTTGTGAAATATCATACCCAACAGTGAAAACCGCACCGGAATCTATAGTAATTTTAAGAGTCAAAAGCATGACACGCAAAATGAATGAGAGGCACACAGCGATTTTATACATACCTACATTTAAATGTCATCTATATTTTACTTATCAATTTACCTATAAATGAAGTTAAAATGTGGATGTCCTTAAGGTAGACTTTGACCAAACTTAATCGAATTCATATTTGACTACGTTAATATCGAGCTATAAGCGCAAAACTTTGCGCAAAATAAAAAGCATCATATAAGGAATTTAGCGCCATCTATGGACCGGCAAACCTAATGACATCGGCGTATTTCACCTTAGTAATACTTATTATGAAAACCGCTCATAGCTCAGTCTAGTGACTACCAGGGCTTCGTGACGGTTCAAAAAATACTGGCTCGTAAAGATTTCTTAACAAATTAGTGATAGCTTTTCTTTGTGAGTAGGAAAATTTCAGAGAAAACTTTTGATGGACAGAGACCAAAATCTGTTGGTGAAATTAACTGGTAATCATTTCGATTCTAAATAAACGTAAACAAAGTTATATATATTAAAAAATATATGTTATCTTACGAACTAGTTTTTACCAGGTTTCTGAACTCTGGTGATCACAAACGCTAGAAGGTATATGAAATGTTCAATAAAAAATAAAGCTAGCGCGGCCAAATCATTCAAGAATATATTATAAATCACAAATATCCACGACACTGTACAAGGTCACTGGCGTCTGAACTCACAATAGGGAACCGGACAGCAATAAGATAAAAAAATAATTTGTACGTTAAAAGGTTCATAAAGTTTTAAGATTATTTGCTGGATATTTTTGCTAAACAATAATTATTTATATTTTTAAATCAATAAACTAAAATATAATTTTCCAATAAATTTATAGTCAGTCTCACGTCAACAAAACACCAACGCATCATGACGACAAACTAAATTGATTGTAAAATTACCTAGGAAAAGCGTGACAAACATTCAAGTGCTAGATGATTTTAAAGATTCACTTAACTTTAAGCAAGTTATTCAAGGGTTCTGTATTGTTATGTTATGTTCTGTATTATTTATTTATGAGTATATCAATAGACTATAGACTTATATGTCAATGTTTCTTCACTGAAAATCCCTTTTGTGTACCCCACAAAAGACGTCACGTCCTTAGTTGCCGTTTACAGGGTTTATTTAAACATTTCAATTTTAATCATTGTTTTGGGTACTTAATTAGGCAATTTTTTGCGGGTTAATCACCCGTACTAATTTAAAACAGTTTTTAAAAAGCTTTCCAATCCCCTATTAGAAAGAAGTATCAACATTGTGATATAGATAAAACATCTTTTAAACACTTTCATCGCGTTTGTATTTAGTTTTATTGACGTTTCGGAAGCTTTACAGCTGAATTATTTAATCAACACCTTAGTATTACGTAAACACGGAACCTGTAAAATTAATTCAAAAATAAATTAATATATAAGAAATCAATCTCATAAATATCTAAGCCAGTTGAATGACAAAGACAAAGAATGTCCTTCTTCAAAGTTATTCGCTGTGCACTTATTAATCTCAGATTGAAACCATTGTTTTATCTTTATGCAAATAAATAACAAAAACTTTGCACCATGCTGATATATTACATCGCGCAAAATAAAATCAACTCATGCAAATTTGTAGTTACTTTTTCTTGATGCAAAATCCCCATTATAGGACTGTAAGTAGAAGCAATGAATAGAAATGCGGTACGAATTTATTATTTGAAGAAATCTTTCAAGATTTTAATACATCACCTAATTGTTATCTAAGAAGCAAGCGGTATAGAAAAGTATTATATATAATTTCATGAAAAAAGAGTTATAAAATCACGTAACAAATGAGATAATTGGTTATAAATCACGCGCTGGTTATTATTTTAATAAAGTATCGGAAATGTAAATTTAATTAACAATTTTAATATATGTCCAGTAATATGGAATATGGACTTTCATTACATTAACATACTTAAGCAAGCTGTGCTTATATCGAGTAGGCTTTAATGTAGTCTCAAAGATTCAAATGTTTTCTATGTATTAATGTGATCATTGTAAACCAGTTTTGTGAGCCTAATAAAAAAAAATATTTGCTTGAGAAGAACTAGCAAGAAAGTGAACAAAACTTCTTTATTAAATATTCGTATAAAGGTAAACCTACAAAAACAACTGTCATGTTATTGCATTGATGTTAATCATAATATCTATTTTCCATTTTGATCTTGAAGCATCACATTTATTTTAAAGGGGTTAGTACAAAACATTGATCATTCAGCATTGTAGAAATAGCTGCTGGAACCCTTGCACTGCATTTCATACTAATAACAGTAATTAGAAATAAATTAACATCTATCTGGAATTTTGAATACTTTAGAGATTCACATTCAAAAAATAAACTTATGTACTTATACTTTATTTTTCTCTTTCCCTTTCTCTCTCTATCATTCCCTCTCATTAAATAAAATAAAATATATAAAAATAAATTAGAAATTTCAGTAGGGCCAATGTAGTTAATCATGCTTGAAATTTAAATGTATTACTCATTACTAAAAAGTAATTTTTTCGAGGCAACATTTGCATACAGGAAAAAAAACTATATCTAAATTTTGGTAGCTTATGGTGTCTCAAAAACTTTAGTAAAGTAAAAATATACATATATTTATTAAATACCACACAAAAAATAAATCATACATACACAAATATAGGAGACTAAGGATTCAAAGTCAGTGATAGATAGTACTTTAACCAGTCCTTTAAAAACGTGTATGCTTTGTGCGCGTCTGATAACTTCTGGCAATTGCTTAGAACTAAAAAAAAATGGATTAAATAAAATAGATTGAATTTAATTAATTTAATACCTTTTCGAGAGGATCGTTGTAGTTATTAATCTTCTCTACAAAGTCCGGCTTGATCTCCTCGTACAGGACGAGGGGCGTGTCAGGAGGGAATCCTGGATATAATAAATTATAAAACTGTCAAAAAAACAAGACAAACATTATCCAAAAATCGCATGTATAGTACCAAATAGTGACACCATATAAGAAACAAGAATGTTATTTATTTACTCAATAACGTTTCGTTCCACTTTTGCATTCGATCCCAAATTAAGACCGAAAATGATGCAGGTACAATCAACAGCACGTTACTCTATAAAAAGCTGTCAAATTTCTCGACTTGATTTTAAATCTTGAAAAATTGGAGGGAAGAATTCAAAAACGAATTATTATTATGAAAAATTCGTGTTCAACATAGATTTGTATGTAAATTCATTTTCACATCTAACAAATTTATCACCCATATAACAAACACATATAATTTATAATAGAGATTTTAAATAGAATACATTAAATAAATTTTATAACAAATGGCCCTTCGAGCCATTTTTAATGTTATTTTTATTCAATACTAGCTTTCCACCAGCAACATCAACCGCGTGGTCTCCATAGAACTGTTTAGTTGCTTCAGACTTAGAATTATCCATAAGCCAAATTTCATCAAAATCGTTTCAATAGTTTTTACGTGAAGAAATAACAAACATCCAAACTTTCGCCTTTATAATATTAGTAAGATAAACATACCTGCTCGCTTATTGAGTATCGGTATGAGATCAGCGGGCTTGCTCGCTATCGGCAAGTAGTGATGTCCGCAATAATGTATACGCTTCTGCTTCGGATCGTAGTACTTGAAGAATAATACTACATCAATTTCCTTATCGAATGTGGGCAGAGCGCTGAGCCCAGAATCGGGTGGCAGCATCTCAAGGAATATGTTCCACGGGTTCATGTTCTCTGATACGTCCGCTACTGTCTTGTGTTGGTCATTCACTATATCCAAACAGGTTGGTCTGCAAGTCTAAAAATGTCATTTATATTTAGGCTGTGGTCTAGTTTCATTAAATTCACTGAATACGGGTCTCATGGTATTTTTTAGGAGGCAAATATATGTTTTTGCAATTGAAATTAGTTTAAATGGATTAATTTTAACTATTTTGAATCTACTATAATCATTGCTAATGCAAAAAATCTTTTATTAATATAAAAAAAAAACAAATACGATTACAAAGCTTCTATTACTACAAATTTGGTTATAGCTTTGACTTCATAGTTAGAGGACCAGTCAGAATTGAATTCAATGAAAACACTCTACATTCTAATGAACATCAATATTGTTAGATACAGTGTGTAACTTCAATACATTGGGTTGGATCATATGTATTCAAAGTTCGATTATCCGATAGTAGTTATCCGTTAGTCCGATAGTTCGATTATTCGATATATCCAAAGCTAATGTAACGGTATGCCTGTTGGTAGGAAAATAGTAATCCAAAGTACCTGTTTGCGGCTTCTTTTCCGAAAAATAAGAAAGAAAGTCTTGATATATTAATTTTCATAAGCTTCACAATTTCGAAGTAGTATGATTCTTCTTATGGCGTTAGAAAGATAAGACGCAGAGTTTGCAAAACTTCAGTATTTATAATAAATTTCAAATATTCGCATATGAAAAGCAATTTTTAAGCTGGTAGTGGCCTTATTTAATATTTTGATCTTTGAAAATTTCGAATTTAGTAAAAAAAGATTTTGCTACTACGGGCCAATGTTGCCAGCGTCACATTGGGTTGGTTAATTTTCTAGCTGAGACTCAATACTCAAACTAACAATAAATATAATAAATCATCATATCATATCATTGATATTTATCAGTGAACGAACCCTGAAGAGGTGTATGAATCAGTTTAAAATAAGGAAAAAAATAAACCATTACTATCAATGCGCTATTGCTGCTACCAAATACGTAGGCGTTAAGCGTTATCAGTAGTTACAAAATTGCAAATGCTGTACACGCTTATAGGTTGCAAATATCAGATGTGATTCTTGGTAATTATGTGGTTATTGTTATGATTTTTTTTTTTGTACTGTTAGTGTGTCGTATGATAATAAAGAAATCAATACAAATTACCTGATTAGAGCGTGCACTAAACGGCCACGGGCGTAACTGCTTGAGCGGATAGCGGAAGTTCTCCGCCAACATTTCCATCAGTTCGGCGACGGTCGCCTGTTTGCGGACTCGAAAAACGCGGTAATGAGCACGCTCTGGGTCGTAAAGATCGTTTCCTTGGTGACCATCAAACGCCTCCTCAAGTACCACGTTCACATTCATGTAAAGATGGGCTTCGTTGCGCTCCTTGCGACGGATCTTCAAATTCAAATTCATTTATTTAACAAAGACATAGAACACACCAGACAATACATAAAAAAATACAAAGGAATAGTGTCCCATTCCTGCATCAAAAGAGCATTTGTTCAAGATTTGTTAGTAGAACTGACACTGAAATTCAACTAGACTCTTTCCTCTTTTAACACATGGATGCCACCTAGTACAAACTAAGCATGCACATAATGGCTGATTTACAGGTAGTTAAGTAAATAGATAGTAGCAGTAAGTACATTCTTATTTTCATTTCAATGAGGAACTATCTAAAAAAAGAAATGACTAAAACGGCACCTCAATAGATGGCGACTCTAGCAAAAGTTGATTTTTGCAGGAAAGGAATGGACCAAAGATTGTCATTTCCGTTCCTTTTAATTAACATATTAAATAAGTGAAATTTGCAAAGTTCGAAACTTAGATATCAATACAAATACGAAAAATGACAAAAAGAATATAAGCTATAAATTACCATAGCTACATCTAGTTTGATTTCAGGAACTAGTGTAAGCTCAATAAAGAAGTTTTTTTAAATACTTCCTCATTGAGCTTACAAATAGTTACATGTTTACATGTACTTAATCACTTAAAATAAGTAAAAAATCTACTTAATTACGTGTGAACCAGTCATAAATCAAAGAAAGTAAGTAAGAGGGTCTATCAGGATAAACAAAGCATTTTATATTATTTAAAAAGATAAAGATATTTGGTATTAATACAGATGTTATTATAGTAAGGACTTATAGAAATATGACTTGTCTCGGGTAACAGGCATTTTGAATACTCTCCAAGAGCATTGTTTTGTTCGAAAAATCAACAGTATGTAAGTATAAGTAGATAATAAAAAACCAAAACAAACGCAAGAAGCTATTGAAATAGGGACAATATTTTTATCTTCGATAAGACGATAGTATATTTAAAAAAAGACGCATGCTAAATATGACGAAAACTTGTTATACCGTCTCAATTCTTTTTTCCTCAGCCAACCTTTCGCTCAGTTCTGTGGGTATGTCCGCTTGAGTGACTTCTTGTAATACAGTCTTGAGCTGAGAATCCCTGAAATAAAACAACATTTGTCTTATTTCAGGTCTAGATATTATATTAATTTCATTGTTTCAAATTTCATAACAAAAGGGTCTTATCTGACCCATGTATGTAATATATTTATTTCATTTTAAAAGAGCAAATTTTTTCCATAATTAATTACCATTAAAACACGGGCGTAATTTCTCTGGCTCTATAAATACTAAGCAGAATTCACACATAATTACAAAACAACTGGCATTTTTACACGCCAACCACGCAAACACCGGCGCGCGTACGCACATTCTATAAAACTTTTCAATCCAAAACTAGTCTTATAAGTGACATTTCAGTCATCCAAAGTCTAGTTTTGGATGGGTGATGATAAACTTTCAAGAAAGTTCCTATTCAATCATGAAAAATTACATCGAAATCCATTGATTTTTAAAAGTCCCTTTCTGTCCAGAGGCTTCGCCCGCGTGTAAACATATAAACTTTCCTCTTGGATCACTCTGGTGGTAATGAAAACCGAATTAAACCAGTTTAAAAGATCATAGCATACAGACAGCGGGAAGCTACTTTGTTTTATATTATGTATAAATGTTGTGACACTAACCTGATATAAACCAACATGTATGCATTGGTACAGTGGCGTACTGTGAGCGCCATATCTTCATCGTGACCACCATAGTTATACTCGATCGCTTCTTGCTTCGTGCAACGAGACACCACATCGTCATCGAACTTGCACCACTATTGACATAAGAATCATCATTAGTCTATATACAATATCATCAGCACCAGCCTATAAATGTTCCCAGCGCGCTAACCACTGCGCACTCGAGCTAATAAATATGAAATACAAATATACAGAGGAATTGGGCCATTTTCCAGAACAAACTATTGTACCCAATATTACTTTGATGTTAACAACTTTTACCAGCATATTAATTATTATTATAATGTTGTTTGCAACCACGCTTTTAGTTACAGTAACTTAAAAATCTCACGTCAATTAACAACCTTTAAATCTTCGTCTCGCGTCGCGGGCAGTGAGAACCAGTATTAATTAAAACGTATTATTATTGAATAAATTATTGTGCAATTATTTCAGTGTATTTTTTTCAAAGACATACGCCGGGTAGTAAACACAGTACCTGCTGCATTTATAACAATGTTTGTATTCATATTTAAAAAACCGATATTTAATAACACTTTTTTGTTTTTGTAATAACAGTAAAATATAAAAAAGCGGATTCCAGGAACAAAACAAATAAAAATAGAATCGCCTTAAAAAAGTGATAAATAAACTTATGACAAAAGTTGTATTGCCAATTAAATTTGGGATCGACCACCCTTATCGATTCCTCTAAGTGATAATGGTGGTCCACTAAAATAGAAATAAATGTTCTCAGACCTACTGAATATACATATAAAATAGGGTAGTTTCGGTAGAGAAAAATAAGTCAAGAATATGCATAAAATCTAAAATTTACATTGTAATAAACACGATTTTCTTATTATCTTAAAATTAAAAGTTGAGTTTTTTTAATCTGTCTCAAATTTAATCTGTCTGAAACACGACTCGCCATTGTGTGCCGTCACTGTAGTGATAGATGTCAGAATAATCCTAAAGATAGGCATTATAATAACAAATCGAATTCCTAGATGGCACTGTTCTTAGCTTATGTCAAATCCTTAATCTGTGATTTATATCTTTTTATTTCGTTATCGATTGTTATGTTTCAGTGTTTTTGTTTTATTGACATCATTTAATCTTCTACTCTTTGTATCTATTTGTGTACATATTACAACGACGTCATATATATTATGATGGACAACATTTTCGCGTTTTATATTTTATAATGACAAGTTTTATATTTAATTTTAAGGCAAGAAAACGTGCTAATTTTTCCGAAATATTTGTTTTATGACTTATTATAATAATAAGTAAGTAAGTATTATTTCAAACAGAGTAGAATACCCTATTGATCAAGTCGTTTCGTAGTACTGTAACTCTTACATGAGAATAACATATATTGCTTGTCACTCACCTTGCCATCTCCTTTGGGGTTGATAAACACCACATAATGTCCACCGTGGTTATCACCCGAATGTACCAGGACAGCGTGCAACGTATAATCTGCAGGAGTCTCTGGCTTTTCTTGCAAGTAAGCATCTAAGTTGATATGCTCGTAGAATTCAAACCTAAATTTGTAGAACAGTAAAAATTATTCTAACACAAATAATCACAAACATATAAATAATGGGTATGTTCCGATATACACTGCGAGCACTGCGCAGTGGTCTTACTGCTGAAAAATCCGTTCGGTTATGGAATGCCAGTACACTGCTACAGTATCCTAGGGAAATTTATGACGTTATAAATTGCCGCCATATTTGTACTGTGAGCACTGGAGATTTCGAGGTAAGGTGCTCGCAGTGCTTTTGATCACGTGATCAGTCGAAACAGAATCAGAAAATGATAAGTTTCTAAATAAACAAAAAAAATACTTACGTTTATTTATAAGATGGATTTAATTGATAAATATTTTTTTATACAATTTTCCAATTTTCTTTTGAAAAGAGGGAATCTTTATATTTATATTCACCTTGCATTAACAAATTTGAAAAAGGCGCCAAAAAATAGGATTAACAGTATACTGGACTGCGTTCCGTTTTAAAAAGTCACCAGTATAACTAGCTATAAAGGAACGGGCTTCCAGTATACTAAATTGACGTCATACTGTTCAGTGGTCGCAGTGTATATCGGAACATACCCAATAGCATTAGGGCCATTGAAATACATATATTATCTAAGATTTCAAGTTCTAGTCCTTTTAATTCTCTTAATTATAACCTTAATAATAAGTGAAAAAAATGGATGGTTTATTTTTATATAAAGTAACAGTTAATATTAAGTGGTGTAGCGGACACGCGCCACGACCCGCTATCGTTGTTGTTGAACAACTTTCGTAAGAGACAGTCACGAGATGGGTGACCAAAAAAATTATTATCTCGAGCTACTCCTTACTTCGGAAGGAATCCGCGTATTGGGCCCGCGTGTAGGGTCTAATATTGGAATACTAAGGCCACAAGCATAGAAGAAGAAAGACTGATAGCAAGTCATCAGAACTGTAGAGGCGGACGAAACGAATCTTTACACCTAGCAAATTAATGACATTAGGATTCTTACTATTCGACTTTTACTGAGCTTTAGATGATTTTCATGCAAATATTTCTAAAATTCTTTTCTGTCGCCTTCTTCGGCGCATTCCATTCCAATTGATTTGCATTTACCTCAACAAAATAGTAGTATATCAAGTTTTGTTAACGACTGACCTGTCGTTGAACTTGACTGAATTATCGGTAATGGGGTCATATTGGAACCGCATCAGATGGAGATGCAGCACCGGCGGAAAAGATGCGAATATCACCCCCTTCTCTGCCTCTTGAAGGCCGTGTTCACCGGCGTCGTATTTATTCTCACCGTCTAAAGTCTCAGTACTGATGTAGTCTTTGAAGGATTCATCAACTGAAAAATAAATACATATATACCTTTATTAGTAACCAAATGATCGCTTGAGTAATTACTTTAAACCACCTAGTTAGGACTTTAGACAACCGAACCCCCTAGGTTTCGGTTGTCTTAAGTCCTAACTTATCCCTTGTTTAATAAAATAATTGATTTCGAACCATTTATCTGTATAAAAAATTGTTATTTCCGAATTATTGGTTTTTATTTTAGGTTAATGTAAACGATGGATACTGATTCGCGGTGGAGGAGCTCGATGGCGCAGCAGTTAGCGCGCTCGGTCTATGATATGGTTGTTAAACAACTTTAGCAATGGATGTCATAAGATGGGTGACCAAAAATTTATTATCTCGAGCTCTTCCGTGCTTCGGAAGGCACGTTAGGCCGTTAGTCCTGGTTGTATCTGCAGTGGTTAATACCCACATGTGTGGGGACATTAATAATCTGGTGATAATGTGATGATCCTCAGCGCTAATTAGTCTGTGGACCCAAATACATATGTTTCTCCAGGGTTTCACGGACCACAGGTAGGGAAGCACAAGTAAATAGAGCAGTAGAACGTTACTTAACATAATGTGTGTTAATCTTTTACTGAGTGGAAAAATTAAACCCACAATAATTTTTTAAGAGTTCATTCGTACCACTCAAGAGTTGTTCCAAATTAATTATCATATTAAACTTCAAAATCTATGCCAATAACAATAAAAATTCCTAAACTGTTAAATATGTATACTGCTGAGTTAACTGTTTTTATTACACATAATAACTTATAAACAGTACAAGGTTAAGGAAATTCAAAGTTATACTCCTAAGCTAATAAGATTAATGTTTACCACCGGAAAAAAAATTACTGCATGATTTTCAATTATAGCCATTAAAATATGTACTTATTTATTTTAGTCATCAGTAAATATTGACACCTCCGTGGCGGATGGCTCACACACCAGTTTCAAAGTGTCGCCATCTTTAATGTCCCAGGTTAGAATCTCGATGGTATCAAATTTAGATAATTATTATATTTGATCAATTTTGAATTCACAATTCTATACTTAAAAATATTCTTAATTTAAAATGCTTAGAAAACCCATGATATTATCTCAAGTCGGAGTGTGAATACCTTCATTGTTCCAGATTTCTATGAAACAAGAGCTTTATCTACTTAGGTATATGTGTAATGTGTGTTTATCTATTAATTTCTAATTAGACATTTGTTAAGGAACCCAATGGAACAGCAGTTAGAGTTTGGTCTTTTACAAAAGCAAAAATAGATTAATTCAAGTTTCCTCATGCTTCAGAATGCACCGTAAGCCGTAGGTCCTAGTTGCATCGGTAGTAGTTGTTACCAACAAACCAATCTGAAGGCCCAAAGGGTGGCCTATAGTACATCCTCTCTATTAATTTGTCGATAAAGAAGTTTTACTCACTAGAGATTGATTACATTAACAGCTGTTCTCAATAATCTGATGATGAATATTATAGTATTTTAATAGATATTTAATACTAAACTTTTGAAATTAAAATGGTGTTATACTTACTGTTCTTTTTCCCTTTGATGTTGAGCTGAATGTCATAGAAGGTTTCAACGCGTGTACTGGACACATTAACGTTCTTACACTTGATATACGAGGTCATCTTGCCCTCGAAAAGTCGCGGTACAGTTCCCTCCACACACGTTCCTTTCATTTTGCTCTCCAACTTATCCAAAAGCACCTTATCAAAATAAATACAGGAGTTAAAAAGATATTTCGAAATATAAAAAAGATAAGCAAGTTTCACTCATTACAACTACATAATTCTATATATTTAAAAATAGCCTTTTACTTAAGTGAGGTTACAAAACAAAGTATGTCAAAAATAATTTGACTTTAGTCAAAAAATCGTATGTTTCATTTACCCTCAAAAACTCTTGGACGTCATGTTGCATGAAGGAATCGAGCGTCTCCCATCCAAAACTCTTAGTAAGTTTCTTAGTACCAACTGGTTTGTCAGAGAACTGGAGCTCGTAGAATACTCTTTGAAGTGCCAATGCAACTGATCTGTGTACATTAGCATTACATTTATATAAAGACAATGTCTGTAATTAATCATATGATAAGTTATAAATAAATATATTGCCTGTAAATTCGAAAAGTGCTTACTGGTACTTAAAAACTTTTCTATGAAAGCTAAATATATTATGTTAAAAAAAAAAAAGAGTGCTAGAAAGAAACCTTATCAAATCGCCGAAGCCATAGTACACATAAAAATTACTTATGCAAAGGCATGTTCTGGCCACAATTGTTTGCCAAATCGTCATCTGTCTGGTTTTTATGATATTTAGCAAAATCGGTGATTAAATATGCACAATATTAGGTTTATATTGAGCCTTTTCAGGTAAAACATTGTAACCGCCATTTTGTGTATTTACGGTTTTTTTTTTAAATATGTCTTCGAGTATTGACATCATCATTTTGAAAATTTCACTGAATGCTGTACGGGCGACTACCTATTAATGTATGTATATATTAAGTTTTGAATTAATACTTCAAATCCAGATAATGTCGCTTACGGCGAAACCTACGACAAAGATAGTTAAAGGTGTTGTCAAGTATGTCGCTTACGATAATTTACAATATGAATAATAGAGTAGAAATAAAAAAAAATAGTTTTTTTTCAGAGGAAGCACAACAAAATGGGACAAAGAGTCAGAAATTCCAAAAGCATTAATTTTTAATTAAAAGACCCTTAACGTTTAAATAAACTATAGGCACTTATTAAAAATAAAAATTACAAATAAACGGAATCGATCATCTTTATTGGTCTCAGATAACACATCCCTGGTGTTTCCATCACACGGTAATATGTTATATTGGTTAACGTAAGCGTGTAATTTGCACAAGCTACAGTCATTAACAAACTGAATAGCTTGCAAAGAACAGCATGCCCCATGTCAAGCGGTGTCATGTCTACCACTCAAGGAGCCGCTCTGAATGCCCTGCTCAACTTACCACCTCTGAATAATAATGAAAGATGCAAAAGCTAACACCAACAGAGTAGGAGTTACTGGTCAAAATAACTGGCATTCTCAAGCACTGAAATCTCTATATCAAACAGTCCTTGAGAACACACCTCTAGCAATGACCACAGACGTCAGGAGTCCGCTTTGTAACTTTGAAAGTAATTACTCAGTTGAGACAGGAGAGAGGAATGGTCAGAGGCACACGAACTCTGCAAAATAGGAAGCCTAGTCTGGTTCACAGATTCCTCCAAAATGAGTCATAATGTAGGATGTGGAGTATATGGTGTAAGGCCAGAATTCAACAAAAGTGTGAGTCCTGGGATAAACGCTACTATTTTCCAGGCTGAAGTATACGCCATTTGAGAATGTGTGGAAGCTAATCGTCAATAAAACTACAGAAATCAGACCATTTACATATACTCTGATAGTCAACCAGCACTCAATGCCATACATTTGAGCGTGATAAGTTCGAAACTGGTAAAATACTGTATTGACAGACTGAATGAACTGGGGCAAAAGAATAAAAATTTTCTTAAATGGGTACCAGGACACTGGCATCTACGGCAATGAAAAATTTGATGGTTTAGCAAGGGCTGGAGCACAGGGACTACAAATAGGACCAGAGCCCTTTTGTTGTATCCCAAAAAACCAAATTCTAAAGAATAACCTGCAAAGAGACCCAAAAAATACTAGCACAAACAGCCGGGGTTATATCACGCTAAATCCCTAATTGAAGATCATTCACAATAACTAGCTGAAGAGCTCTTGAAGCTAAATAGAGCAAATATAAATACAATTGTAGGAACCTTATCTGGACACTGCAAATTGAACAGACACCTATCTAACATGAAACTAAGTGACACTGAAAATTGCAGATATTGCAAACAGGAACATGAAACACCAAAACATCACCTGTGTGAATGTGGACCACTAATCCACAAACAAAGCATACATTTGGGACGACATATAATCACCCCAGAAGATATAAAATCTCTAAAAGTCAGGAATATTATAGAATTTTTGAAGTCCTACCAGGCTAAAGGAGTTACTATAGCTCTGGCGGCAAGTCAATATACCTTCAAGGTTGCAGTGACTACAGCTCCTCAGGTATCAGTCTGGTATGACACCATTGTCACACGTTTTCAAAAATTGTTACACATTTGTCAATTTTCGCTATAACAAGTATTACAACAAGAATGTCGTTAGGATAATACGGAAACAGCTATTTTAGACGATGTTTCTTAGTATAAAACTAATCGAAAGATCATAAGTAGGCCCACCCTCATAATAATATCCAGTAACCTAGATAATTTATGAAGCATGTTTTATCAAAGCATTTAATGATTGAAAATCAATTTTAATGATTTTCAATCATTAAAGTTTATAGAAATCGGAACAGTAGTATCGAAAAAATGACAGATTAATTAGTCTTTCAACCGTCGAAAATACTATGCACACATAAAAAACTACGAAGGACACCATCATTTGTTAACATCTAGAACTTCAGTTTTCTAAATATTCGTTCATAAGTCTATGTATTTACTTCACACAGGGGGTGAATTTTTAAATTTAAAACACTCTAAAATACACACTATAAAGCACTAAATTCGTTAAAATATAAGAACAAATCAGTTTCCTTTATTTCCATTACCAACTTGCCAAGGTAATGTTTCTATGATTTCTACAATATCCAATTTAAAAGTGGTCATAATAACTAATAACTTTAAGATAAATACATTAATTTCTATCGCATGCGACAAAAAACTCACTGGATGTACTTACAAAGAAAAAGTTTCAAATTTCATAATAAATAATTATATATAACTGACTTCAAAGTAAATGAGTAAGGTGCAAATGTAAGTGATCACACGATAAGTACAAAAAAATCGTTTTCGAAATTTTGGCGATTACGATGTTTTTATGAAAAGGCTCGATATTTACCAATAATATAGGCCTAATACTTCTGATATAAAGGGATGATCTTAAAACCATAAAAACACTTGTGATTCTTTAAACACTTCGTTTTATTTATATGTTATTAGCAGTGGTCGGAATTAGGTAGAGTTATTTATGTACTTACACTGATTTCATACAGCAAAAGAATAAAGTGGATATGCCTCAAAACCCGAGATTAATTTTAAAGAGCACAAAAAATCCCGTGATTTTTTAAATAAAAAGTTATTTACTTTTACACAATTCAAACTACTGCACACACGACGTTGCCAAACTTACATCAATGACATCGGATGTCCAAAGATGTCCAAGATTGTCCATTAGAAATCTCGGGAAGGTCCACATTATATCAACATTTGGATACAAGTACATAAATAACTCTACCTAATTCCGACCTCTGGTTATTAGACATAGAATGAATTATGTAATTTATCCCAAAAAAATAAATTGGGCATTAACTAAAATGCACCAAATTTTAAATTACTAATTTAATTTATAGTTCCAAAGCAAATCAGCTGATGGACAGACAAACCGAGAATTGTCACAAGGTGTTAATCTCACTATCAGCATTATTATACAAGATGGATTGGTATAAAGATAAAGTTCGTTACTCCATAACATTATCGTCTTTAGTTATTAGAATAAAAATGTACCTGGTACTGTCATCAGATTCTGTGGGCATTTTATATACAGCCTTCCTCAATTGATTCGTGAAATAAAGTGTCTGCAGCAATGAGTTCATATAGCAAGTGGCGCCTTGATTCTTCAGACCTAGAAGCAATAATTTTCATAAACAATCATATGAAAGAAAACACTAACAGTTTGACAGTAACTTAGTACTATTACAACTGTAGCGCCGCTGGTCTGCTACCGCGTAACTTTATAGCTATGACTCTATCTATAAAAATGGTGTAATAATTGTACCAATGAATATGTTAATGTTCTCATTAAAGGATCAATTTTTTTTTTTATTATCAACATACATTTTTAATAATAGAAGAAGAGCTAGTGAACCCTTCCGAGTAACGGTATGTAAAGCTAGAATGATGAGTCATAGCATTTTAGGTAGAGCAACCATCACATGGCTGGCAGGCATCAACCTCGCACGTCGTCAACCCCTATAAATGTAAAGTGTAAATAAAATTCGAAAAAACAAAACTTGCTGCTGTAAGATGGAAATTTTTATACGATTTCGTTCATTCATTGTGATGTTTACAAATTGACAGGCGATTTCGATGAGCACAAGTACCTGACAGGTGAAACGAAAGGTCTATAAATTAAAAAAATCTATGATGCAAAGTTGAATTTCAAATAGGCACGTGTTATTCTACGCAAATCAAAGTAGGTACAATGACAGGCGGATTTGGCTAACATAAGTCGTTAACTGGCAAGGAGAAAGATGGTACAAGAGAATGCTTCCTTAGCATGCTATGATTCATCACTATAATACTTTCTAGCCTTACAGACAAAGGGTTCACTAGCTCTTGGTCTATAAGTGTAATTATATTAAGTTGAACCAAATTAAAAATTATGAAAATAATTTAACATTTTCATTAGAAGCTTTGTTGGACCAGGGATCATCAGACCCTGGGTATTATCTCGAACCATACAGCCCAAACGATAATAATAAAAAAATGTGATCATACGCAAATAAATAAATTTTGAAGTATTTAAGCGCAAATAACATCCACTCCAATTTTAGGTATATTCTATCATGATTTTGGAAAAGAGTAAGAACCATGTCCGACTTTTCTCACAAGGAGCGGGAGGTAGCTTTGATCGTTTTACGTAAGAACGCAAAATGTGCAAAATTAAAATCTAATTTAATAAAGATGAAAGATAAGAAAACAAAACCGATAACTGCAACAAACAATGGAAACAACCAAAATTAAGAAAATCCAAACGTCTATTCATTTTTCCTTTAGATTCTTACTGTGCTACTAATAAACAAGGTTTAGCGTTGGAGTAAATTTACGCTGAGACTGCTCTTCGTAGTCAAAATTCATATTATCAAACAGAGATTTAACAACAGTTAACCTAGTACGAGGTTCTACGGGAGTAATATTTGCTCGTATAATAGATTTGCTTATTTTCTGTGTAATATGAATATGGACTAATACTAAAATTGCAATTATAGCGTAAATTTACTCTGACGCTAAACCTTGCATATTAGTAGCACTCTTAGATAATAAACGTTGAATAAAAGGGCTGTGGAAAAAGTTGATTGATCCTTTCTTTTACATGAACAAAAAATTGAATTAATCTATCAGGATGACGCCATTATCATATATGTAACATCTGAGCTGGTGAAACACGCGTTTAGTGTGATACCTATTTCCTACTATTTAAATATATGCATTAAAACATTTTCAAAATGATTCAAACAAAAAGTGGGGCGACAGCAACCTACCTACATAACCAGTGTGCTTCTTTGAGTCCCAGGAAACTCCATGCGGTGCCTCCGCCGTAACATGAACCTCTAAGGTTATAGAGTCGTCCTTTATGTAGCCCTTCTCGGGATCAAGGACGTCGTTCCAAGCCATAAAGTGAGAGAAGCCCCAGTCGTTCTCTTTGCTAAATCAAATACTCTTATCACTGATTATAGAACATAACACTAAAGTTTCTAAACTAATCGTTAGCTTATTTCTTGTAAAATTATAAACTGAATTTGAGTATTACTCAATACTAATACCAATATAACACTCACATATTAAAAAATTTCTTCAAGCAAGAAAAAAAGTCTACCAGATAACACCATGGAAAATATATAAAAGAGAAACTAAAGACTTTTTATACTTTAGTATAACAATTACCTATAAAACAAATGTTGAATTTTTCTGAAAAATGGTTCTGTATCTGGCTTATGGGAAATGAGTCTTAGTTCAGCCATGGCGTAGCAGGACCAACTCGAAGACTCGCTTTCTCCATTGCACTGAAGGAAGAACCCTAGGGACTTCTGCTGTTGGCGATCAGGTGACGGCGCCTGCCGCGGCATCACCATAATTTTCCATGGAAGATTGCGCACATAACATGGCGGCGAGAGCACAGAGTCCTTTAGACCCCTGAAATTCTGCACCGTAAAACGGAAAGTCGCTTCCGACCTCGCTTCATCGTCTTCCATTTCGGCATCGAGACACGCGAGCTGTATAACAATTTAAAGTTAATTAACACATAATGAAACTCGGATAAAAAGCTCTTCCATTTTGTAACTTACTGGCATATCCGAAGATGTAGTTTCCTGATTCTTCATAACCATGTCGTCGTCACCCATGACAACTTCTCCGTTGGGCCGTATTAGGTCGTTGTCCCAAGTCTTTTCTGTTGCTGTATCAACAGTTTCCACTGAAAATAAAAAAATATATGTTTACCATAACATTAATAATCAATTCAGCTTTTGAAATTCCAAATATCGTATTTGATGGACATCATTCTAATGTGAATATTGATATGTCTTATGACAACACGAGTAGGATAACCTGCCATTACCATTCCATTCAATGCTTTAAAGTGAGTATTTTTTTCATGAAACAACAGCAGCATTTTTTTACAGTTAATATTAAAATTTTCAACAAAAAAATACACTAGATAAACTTACATATCAAGTGACTGGCTAATATATTTAGTTAAGACTATAGTTTATACTTAAAAATATCAATCCCTGGGAGACTCACGTCTAATCACACAATGATTGCAGCTTTCTGTTAATTTACTACTTACTTTATGAAAAAAAATACGAAATTTATAGTATACTAATAAGCAATGTATAAGCATTGTAAAGTGGTGAACAATACTATGTGTAACTAAACAACTATTAGTTAAGTTATATTTTTCTTTTTAGTAAAGATATAAGTCATAAAAAATTTAATGATCAAATGGACACAATAGAAAAAACATTGCAGCATGACAATAACACTATTACTAAAATGAAGTAAACCTAAGTTTATATAGTTTAATGTTTTTGGAATGAATTAAATGAATTAATAGAAGACGGGAGTAAGCAATTACTATTTTAAAGATTAATATGGTGAAATCACAATCACAATTTTTTGTTAAATATCAAAATCATTAACATGGCTTAATTTAAACTAAAATAGCAAGGTTGAAATGAGTTAACCTTTAATGTTGATTTTGTTAATTCAATCCACTTAGATTATAGAGTTTTTCAGCTATTCAGGAAAAACATGTAAAAGCTGTCCAATATTTTACTCATAATAATTTTGACATTTGTGATAAAATGTGTCACACTTCAACATTGGCCAGTGACACTTACTGGCCAATGTTGAAGTGTGTTTATGGTTTTTGGAAAGATTACAGAAAATTACATGTTGGCACTACACTATCGTCCAATAGGCCAACCGCCAATCATGAAGCCAATTTATCCTAACTCAGTCATGACCTATCAAAACAAGACAAACTACCTAATGTGAATAATTCAGTAACTACATCTCTATATGTAGAAAATTGAAAATGTTCTTCTTTCATTGATTTCATTCATACAAAACTTCATATTACTTTTATTGTTAGATTATGTCAGAATGATATATGGTTCTATAATTTAGATTTATTGATACTTCAATTTTTTTCACTTATGTGGACAGGGTTACCACATAAATATGGAAGAAAAAGCCTGATTTCCTAATAAAAGTCATGAGATTTTACTCAAATGTTATCAACAACTGTGTCACATTCTGCAGGTTTTCTATTATAGTATCTGGATGGTTGAATGAAAGAAATAGGAATGATGACAATTTTTTTTTGTCTGTCCGTCAGGTAAATTTTGAGGAATATTTTGAAACACATATTTTATTTTTGTATTAATCAATAATGGTGATACGTTGACGTGAAATGTCACATCATCAAAAATTTTCTACATAATTGCAACATAGAGAGCCCCCTCTCCTCAATTTTAATGCCTACTATCAAAGGCATTTCTTTTTAATTTAAGTAATAAATACATATCTAATATTCATCAATTATCTGACTGATGGGCTAAATAGAATTTCTTATTTTTACCCAGGCATCATCCCACATTGACTAAGAATAGTAATGTACAAAGCATTTTCCAAAACAGTAACTAAAATAAAATGTTACATAAAAAGAATCATCATGTACAAAGTAAATAAAATAGAACTGATTCAGTATTATTATTATTATTTTATTTTTATTACTTTATTTATTCTTATAATTATTTTTATTACTTATTATAAAAAAGAAAGACCTATTAAATCTATACTATTCTATTGAAAATCCAAAAATTACTGAGATAGCCTGAGACAAAAAAAAACAAGAAATCCAGAAAACTGTCTACAAATACTGAAATCACAGAATAAATTCTGTGACATGGTAACATGTAGATGTGGATAACTAAGTGAAGAATTTCTCTATATTTTATTAAAAAAAAAAACATAATCAAATAGTACCTACAGCAAAATTTGTCACATTCTTAATTTTATTTATAGAAAATTATTATTATAATGTTTTTGAAAATTTTTGATATAAATCACATTCTTATTTTAGCACAATATTGTGTTATATTTATGTATTTATATGTCTAACACAAGTGTAATTTGATGTAATCATTAATGTTTACAGAGTCAAATACATTATATATTAGCAAAACAATAAGATCTAAATTTAGACTGAGTATCAAACAACAACTTGCAGTTTTGAAACAAAGAACCTAGCAATATGTTAACATTTTTGCTCAAAATTGTTAATGTTACCAGAATCCTCTAAGGTTTTTAAATTTCCATATAAGGTACTTATTTGTTATTTAGTTTTTTTCATCAAATAATAAAGTCAACAATATTATTTAATGTAATTTTTCGAATTTTGAGGTTAAGTATCAAACCAAACATTTGTGCAAGTAGTGATATTCCTAAGATTATAAATACCTGGTATAACTACACTTCAAAAAGGACAAAGAATCAAGTTACCTTAGAATAATAATAAACAAATTCAAGTTGGATTTTTATTTAATTATATAAGAATTTACTTGGAAAAATTATTACACTAACCGTCTTGAGTTTCCATCTCCTCAACTTGGTTCACATTGGAGTCCTGATGCTGCCTGTCGGGAGCAGGCGTGTGGTTCATGTTAGCCGGGCGCGCCACGGGGGACTCTCGCCCGCAACTCTTAGAAATTTCCTGAATAAGCATTTTTTTGCTTTAGAAACAAAGTTCAATACTCACTACTGACCACCACTGACGTTTCATATAACACATCGCTTACCTTTAACGCCAGGGGATTACTCCCTCTCGACCTGCTGAAAATCCGTTGCACGAATTTCAACGAACCTTTCTCATCGACTCTTACACTCTGCGCACCCGATTTTTTATTTTTCTTTGACGATAGGATGTTAATTTTCAAAGAGTGTTTACTAGCGGCGCGGCCGATGTCTGCAAATTTCAACACAAGGGCCCGACAATAGATAGGTACGCTAATAGCACATTCCTAATCTTTTGACCACTGCTCGAGACCTCTGGCAATACCCTGCGAAGCGGGATATCATAAAATTCACTTAATTATCCGGGTAAAAAGTTATTTTCACGAAAATAAACAAAATGGTGGATATTAATTTAATTTCTAGCTTCGGATGTGTGGCCCGGTTTGATCGACGAATGCACCATTTTATCATTCTCTCACATTCACCATAGTGATGTCCATATAAAAAGCAAATCGATGAAAAAGTCTATGCTTGACTAAACATTTTCATAATCGACGATTAATATTTACTGCTACTTATCAGAGATTGGTCATCTAATGAATACGTGCTAAAACTCCGATTTCAATAATCTACCGACAACAGTCAGTAGCAGTTACCGACCGTTTTTGATCTCGACCGTAGGACTTCGTATTTCGAATCATGTACCTACCAACTTTATTATAATATCCTTGTTTTTATCTTGTTCCATGGCCAAGTGTTTTCACTAAGGTTTTTAAGCTTAAATTACTAGTGAACAATATTTTTATCATAACAAAATAAAAGATGCGGATATATATATGAGGGTAGAGCAGCATCGTTCAAGGCAGATGAAGTATTGTCTAGTCCATGAAGATAAAGTAAAAGAACTGGAGGCCAAACTCAGAACTATTGGTTGAAGCAAAGTTATTTGACCTCTATTGACCTTTCGTTGGACTCCTGAGTGGCTATGTCATAAATCTAAATTTTCCCGGAACCTGTACCGACCATTGATGTTATTCGCTATTTTATGTTTCATAACCTTTTTGACAATTGGTACTAATAGTATAGTTTTACACGTCACTAATTGCATAGGATTTGAAACTTTATTTATATATCAGAAATAAGATTGTACATTAAATATACTCTGAAATCCAATCCAATGTAACAAAAAACTTAAACAAAAGGGTTATTAAGCAATAACTACAATTAAATAAAATCTATAATAAAAAATGGTACGCAAATATTATAATCAGATGCAGATACATAGCTGCAAATTAATAAACATTATTAACATTTTACAGTCGTCATGTCAATCTCATTAATCAATAATTCAGACTTGCAATTTAATTTGTTGAATTATTATTAAAACCTATAAATTGTAAAATTATATTCCACTATAAACCGTTTCACATAGAATGGATACGATGAAATTTGTTAACAGTTGATGAATAAATATTATTCTCAAATCCTGCTTTATATGTTGATCTCAAAACCGTTTATCTCTATTAGAAATAAACGAGTTTTTGTATCTAAAAACTTCAAACCCCAAACATCACCGTACCCATGCTATGTGAATAAGACACCGTAATTTTTTTCTAAATTTCCCCATTGTTGAGGTAAATGGCATCCTCAAAAAATGGCAACCTCGTGTGTGTCAATATGGCGAATGACAATTATCACTAATTTCGTCGACTCGAAAATTGTGTTTCATATATAAACGTTTCTCGCTATCAAATCGTGAAAAATGGTTCAGAAATGTGTAGTCCTAGGTTGCGGAAGCAAATGACATCCTGGATGTTCTTTGATATTTCACAGGTGAGTCGTAAAGTTACTATAATTGATTACTGCTTGCGTTTTATAAAAATAATGTTTTTAACGTAGAATCCTTAAATTTTTGATCATTTACAATAATATGGTATCTAAAGTTATAAATGATTTAATTGTTTACAGTAGCATATTTCAGAAATTTTCTAATAAAAGCACAGTTCACATTGCAAAATAAAAATAAACAAACACTAATATGGTGACCATGAAAAGAAGATAAAGGATAAACAATAAAACTGAACTTAATATTTTTTATTTCAGTTTTAGTTTTCCCAAGGATCTAATAAGGAGAAGTCAATGGCTATCGAGTGTCAAATAAAAAAATAAGTTTTATAAAACTGCAAAAATATGCAGTAATCATTTTGTGGCTACTGATTATATATTAGAGAATCGGTTTAGGCATACAGCAATTCCTTTTTATTCTGAGGTACTAATTCTTAGGTAGCAAAAATAGAATAGAAACTTCCGAGTGAGAACGCGAACTTGTGGCTCGACGTCCTTTTTAAGTACGCGTATTTAAGATGACACACAAGCGAAAAAGGTCGTCGAGCCACAAGTTAACGTTTGGAAGGAATAAAATATTTTTATTTTATTTAATGTAATATGTTATGAAAAAATGGTCTCGAAATATCTTAATTCCCTAATGGCAGGGTTTAGACAAAATAACCATAATTAGTTATTTTTCCAATCAAGACAATCTGATTTAAAAAGTGATGCATTTACCAGTGATGCTTCTACACCTTCAACATCTCGTCGTAAGTTGTCCGATAGACTTGCTATGGTAACAATCAAATAGTATTTATTGTCATCAAAACTGTACTTTTTTAGACACATATAAATTAAATTTAAAAAATAACATAATGTTGTTTTAATTTTACCTGAGAATGACAATTACATCTGAGAATATAAGAGAAGAATGTGATATGTAAATCAGTAATTGACTTAAGGGTGAAATATTTACTGGATGCTTATTCCATTTCAATTCGGAAATGCCTAATTTATATTTAATTTGATTATTGTTAATATATATTGTTATAAGTTTCTTGACATGTAATTTCTAATATTATTGAATTTTGGGTATTTGTATTTTTTTGCAATCTTCCATAATTGTATTGTATTGTAACATTGCCATGCCCTTACAGGGCGTCACATGTACACGAGCAACACAATAATTACTATCTCATAATTTTAATGTGAACTGCAATAAATGATTTGATTTGGAAGGAAGGCAAGCTAACAATCGCAGTCTGCAGTCTTGTAGTTCACTTTGCATATTAGATCTACTCCGTGCTTTGGAAGGCACGTTAAGCAGTTTGTCCCGATTGTATCTGTAGTTGTAAATACCCTCCAATCCGGAATGGACCCATTGTGGGTACATTAATAGGCTGATAATTATCAAGAAGAGTTGTTGCCAACTCTAATTCCCACACTGCTAAGTTTTAATCAAACTCAAAAAATTTTATTTTTTTACGAGAGAATACGAGACTCATCAAATACTATTATACGTCGTACGTATAATAAAATAAAATACTGTGATGACACAGTAAGGCTAACAAAACTTTTTTAAATTTCCTCATTTGTCCCCCAAAAATAACCCTTATTTATAAAAACAAATTTAATTATTTTGTATATCTGTGTTTAGGTCAAAGGATGACAAATTTTACAAGATTTGGTCCAGTAGATTCGGAAAAAAGGCTTTTTGTACGGAACTTTAATAAAATCAATTTCATAGTTGAGGGAGAATCTAGATTAGATCTATTAATGTCATTTGTAAACTTTACATCTACCTAGGAAAATTTGATACTTTTTTTGCCTTAATGTTCTACTCTTTAAACTTGTCTCCTTTATTTTATACTTGTGTGGTCACCCGATTAGAAAGAGAGGATGGGGACCTAAGGAATGAAATAGAAAAAATTCAAGGTCAAATTTTTATGCTTCAAGTAGGTATGGAGGAGTTTGGTCTCCAGTTATTTCTTTAGCTTCATGGTCTAGTCATTTCCACCTAGGGATTGCAAAGACCGGTTTTCGATTTTCTCGTCCAATTAAAATCCGAATAAGCCGAATTTTTTTTGTAAAAGTTGTTTTTGTTATATCATCATCATCGTTAGGGCATAGGTGGGCATAGGATGGGCCACTGCTGGGCATAGGCTTCTCGCATGGGTCTCACGTCGATCGGTCCTTCGCCTTCCCGCGAGTTTTATTAGATCGTTGGTCCACCTAGTCAGTTAGGGGATGGTTAGGGGCCTACTCACTGAGCTGCGTCCGGTACGTGGTCGCCATTCGAGCACTTTTCCTGACTAGCAGACATAAGTTCTTCTTGCTACGTATCCCGCCAACTGTCACTTCAGCTTAGCAATCATTAGAGCTCTATCGGTTACATTAATTCTCCTACGGATATCCTCGTTTGGAAACACCAAGCATCCCAGATAGCATGCTAACTTGGAGCAAGTTTGATTTTTCTTTGATTCTAAATTGCTGCGTCAAATATACGAGGCAAGTTTGTGACAATGTCGCTGCAATATTGTTATGTTAAATATGGAGTGATATTAAATATTCCAGTTTGCGACAATATTGTTTGAATATTGTTATGACAAAGATACTTATTTGTAACACACCCATCATCTTCATAGGTGCCCGAATAGTTCTAAGACTGCAAACTAGATGTCGCAGTTCACGTAATACATCGCGGTATCAGTTTATATTGTTACATTGTATAAGTAATATGCCGTTTAATGTGATTTTAATCGCCCTTCCGGCCCTTCAGGCCAACTTAAATCCGATTTAGTTAATAATACCTAACTTAACATAAATTCAAAATAAATTTTACTTATACTTCAATTCAATTCTCAAATCCGATAAGCCCTTACCCCGGGGATAACGGCTAACATCTCTACGTCACTATTCATGTAAGTGAATAGGGACGTCTGCGCTGCCCCCTCCCTCTCCGGGGAGGGGGAGGGGGGGGGACAGTCGCTCGGATGAAGATTCATTGCCCCTTCAGGGCACGCAACCAACTGTCCAAGGCGGTGTTTAGTCAGTAGGAGTCTGACATAACCTCACAGCTGGCTGTGTGGTATCCAATGAAGGATTCACCGCCTCCTTCCTCCGCTGGGAAGGCGGTTCCGAAGCCTTAAGGTTGAGAAACGAAAAAAAAAGTGATTTTAATATGGGATTCGAATCGAAACTAACCGTCCCAGTTAACTACTTTGACACTTAGGGCGCTTGTGCACTACACTGAATTTTCATGTCCAGCGGTCCGATTTTTTTAATGCTAGCCTGTGCACTGTCAGGAATTTTACCATCCGGGATTTTACTTTTTTCTATTCCGGACCAGTTTTTACATGTAATAAGTAGTCATCCGATAGTAGTCAAAAAAATGTTTTCATCTTGCCATAATTTATTATGGTTTATGTAAAATGATTAGGTTATTATTTAGGTACCTTTTTTTCGGTTTCGAACGTAATCACCGACGTTCCAAAAATCTCATCGCACCTAGCGTAAGTGACGTGTAGCTTCAAAGAGAGCTGCCTTACACTGCGCCGCTCCGATCAGGAAAAAAACGGACAAGTGCACAAGCTACTCATCCGGGTTTTTAATGTCATTCCGGACCGGAAAAGTTGGACCGCCGGACCTG